TGGGACCGGACCTCACTCGGAAAGCCGGTGAAGTGGTCAGGAGCAAGGCCTTGTTGCGCTCGCGCCCGGCGGGGATGATGGGACGGGGTTGACTCGCAGCGCCACCCACGTCTCCGCCGCGGTCTCGGTGCGCCACGGGGGCCCCGGCCGGGAGGGCGCCGGGGGGCCTTGCTCTCGCAGAGTGGCGTCTTTCTTTTGTTTCCGTTGTGCGCCGCGCCCTGGCACGGGCCCTCCTGGCCCCGCCGCCACGCACAGCGCCTGCTGGCTTTGGCCCGCAGCTAGCTAGCTGTAGCTAGAGTACGTAATTACGAGGGTCCTCGCCGCGGGGTCGTGGCCTTGGTGCTGCGGGGCGCGCGCCGCGTGTGGCTGGTGTGGCCCGGCTGCAGCTGAGCCCCGGCCCGCCCCCTCACCCCTCACTGCACGGCCCGGCCCGAGCCCTGTCCTGATCGGGTCTTGTCGTATCCGGGGCAGACAATGCCACCGCTGGGAACCACTCGCTGCAGTGACTGGACGCCCCGCCGCGGCTGGCTGTCCTGTGGTTGCGCCCCGCCGCCACGCCCCTTTCCCTTCCCATGCCGGCCAGCGACTCGCGGCTCGCGGCTTTGGCTTTGGCACAGCCGCCGTCCAGAAGGTTTTCGCGGCAGATCTTTTACTTTTACTGCAGAGAGGAGTGGGAGAGGAAGAGTCTCGGCCGTGGTGGCGAAGCGGCGACAAAACTTTGAGGGGAAGGCACTAAAAGTGTGGCGGCGGCGGCGGCGGTCTGCTGGGGAAAGGGCGACGGCGGGTAGCTAAAATACTCGCTCTCGTGTCGTGTGTTCTGGCACGCGATGCCACGCAAGACGCGCGGCTCTGCGTGCGTACGAGGGAGGGCTGGGCCGGGCTGGGCCGGGCAGGCGTCTCGCGTCGCGATGCGCGCCCGAGATGGAGTGGAAAACAATGACGCGGGGTTGATGATGCTCTGATGGTGTGAACCTGCGCCGCGCGGGTCACGCTCGACTCTGCGCCCCGCCCTGATGGGCTCCTCGCTGTCCCGGGGCCCGCCCCTATATGATCGTGTAAGGTGTCCACCAGCCACGGCGGCCCTTCTCCAGGCGCTCCAGGCCCAGCTCCTGCAGCCTGCAGGCGGGCTCGGCTTGGCTGGCTGCGCGGCTCTGGAGCGAGAGAGAGCTTTCACTCGTCGGCCGAGCCTGGCCTGGCTATGCGCGTAATTTGGGTTTTACTGTTGTAATGCGGGCATTTTATGCGATGTGTTGCGGCCGCCTCTGCTCGCGCTGCTGCGGTCCTGGCGGCCAGTGAGCGCAGTCATTAGAGAGGCGCTCGAGTGGCATCGGCGGGCTGAAGAAGGGGCCTCGGCTCGGCGCGGCCGCCAGTTTTTGTTTTGCTGGCTGCTTTTAAATTCGCCGGGAATGGATGGCTCGAGCAGTATAGAGGACGACCTCGCGGCGACTCCGCGGGGCGCCGCCGCTGCTGCTGCCGGCGCCGTCGCCGACGTTACGGTGGTGGGAATCGAACCAAGGACCTCCTGGCTGCTTGACGGCGGCAAGGTGAAGGGGAGGGCGTCGGCGGGTCGGGTCGTCGGTCTGCCAGCGCGCCGCGGGATGGGCGAGCAGGCAGTATCCATCAGCGCACGCAACACCGCCGGCGCGGCGTCGTCACCCACACCGCCGACGCCCGTCCATGCCCATCAAGCCGAGTCTCTCCGGGGCGGGGGCGGCGGGGGCGCGCACCGGTTAATTGATACTGCATCGCGAAAGTATGACCGCGAGGGTCATCCCCACGGCGGCCGGAGGAGGAGTGCGTGAGAGGCGACCCGCGAGGACTCCGCGGCCCGCAGCAGCAGGCAGCAGCCAGCCCAAGGTGAGGCCGACGGCAACAATTACACACACCGGCCGCTTTAATTGCGGCCCGTGCAAGTACGTCGCCTCTTTTACGCGGCTCGCCTCGCGCTGCAGCAGCCCAAATGCGCCATGGAGTGCATGTGGTGGCGAGCGGGCCCGGGCGCGGTGAGAGAGCGGCGCGCTGCTGTTCAACGCCCCGCTCGGCCGAACGGAGCCGACCTCTGCGGGTTTCTCTGGAGCCAGCCACTTTTCCAGCCGGCGGCCGTGGCTACCTCACTCCCCGTCGATGTGCACTCCAGTCTCCTCCTGCCCGTCATATTTCACGGGAGGAGCGACCGGGAGTAGGCGCTCGAGGGGGGGCAGCAGGAGCAGCAGGAGGCACTTGACTTCCTTTGCCTGGCGATAGCGGCGCTGCAGCGGCTGCAGGCGCGGCGGGGCCGGTCACGTCCTGAGGACGCTCACTCTCGCTTTCTGCTGCGCGGAGGCTGCGCCGGGCTGGACCACACGGCGAGCGCAGAGAGGAGCGGCGCCGTCACGCCTGATTGCTCACCTAGCTGAGGCTGTGCTGCTTCTGCCGCTGCTGGGGCCTACCGCACCACCTGCAGGTGCCGCAGCTGCCTGCGCAGCGCACCTGCAGGTGTGTGCTGTGCTGCTTCTGCCGCTGCCGGGGCCTACCG